CACACCCACACCCACACCCACACCCACACCCACACCCACACCCACACACCCACACCCACACCCACACCCACACCCAATTGATGTGTCACTATGGACTGAAAAAGAATAAAATAAATATATACCTTAGAAAAAGGATCAAATGTCTCTCATCTGCTATAAATTGTGCAAATCGAACAAAGACAGAAAACCAATGATATTTTCTGGTTAAATGTGAAATAAAATTTAAGTTGATAGAAAATAATTAGGACTCAATACCAACTATAAGAATAATAGCTCAAAGTTTTTCCAACAGTAATTAGTTACTGATTGGATATACAGTTAATGGAACTTTTTAACTCTAGTATTAATGTTCGATCTCCACACTATCCAATTCAAAGAATATCGATTCATTCAATTTTCCTATTAATGCAGTGGCGGACCCGGGAAGGGGCGGGGCAGGGTGGCGGGGATGACAGTCGCCACCCCTTCCGAATTTATGCAATCTAGTTTTGAGATATGTTTTTATATCTTTATGAAGAAAAGCAGAACACAAGTGCTCGACTTTGAGTATTATTCAAGTTTTGAAGTGTTTGTATTGTTTATTTGATTTAGTTCATACTTCTGAGAAGAAGTATTTGCAAGTATACTCCAAAATAATCACGTCTTTGATTCGAATCATTTATGATGCAATGGATTCTCTATGATTGATAAGGAAATTAGGATCACTTTTAAATCATAACTCCGAAATACAAGGAATAAAAGTAATTTGAATGGATTAGTCACAAGGCGTGTACATTTGACAGCGGAGATCAATATTGAAAAAGTAATCGACAAGTTCTTAAAGCAAAAGACTAGAAAACTGGACTTTATTATATGATCTGGATTTTAGTAATTGTACTTTCTTACCATTTGTTTCTGATTCTGTACGCCTCTTATTATTTTCGTTGCAACATAGAGTAATCTAACCTAATTCTGCTGAAAAAAATCTTGCTGCGCAATCATTCATCTCTGACTGTGCAATTTAGTATTGTATCAAGTGAATGCTTACTTTTCCGAAGAGGCTGAACTTTTCTGCGTCGATCAACATGCATTTGATCAAAAATGAGGTTGTGGAGTGGGTTTAGATATCGGGTGTGCAGGTTTGGGGGTGGGTGTGAATGTAAGTGTGTAGGCGGGGTGTGAGTGTGGACGTGAGTGTGTGGGCGGGATGTGGCTGTGGAGTGTAGCTGTGATTAGCGTAACTAATAATGTTATAACACAATATTTATATCCATACCCACACCCACACCCACAGCTAGACATCTTTTTATTCTTTGTCTTGCGCTTTTCAGTTTATAGTTTCGTTTTTGCTGAACAAAAAGAGTAAAAAAATGTTCGCTTCTAATCCACTTGAGAGAGGAAAGAAGGAAAAGAATACCGTTGGACGCTACCGTATCAAATAACAAAATTGAGTGCTTTTCACCTATCTTTATCTAACGGTAACATCCGAATATTTTTTTGTCCAAGTACAATGGCGATATGGATGTGGATGTGGGTGGGTGTGGGTGTAGATATATGTTCGTCATAGATCAACACTCACACCACAAACCCACTCGTACCCGCACTCACACTACACGCCCATTGATACCCACACCCACACCCACACACGCCTACATCCACACACACTCCAAACCCACACCCACCTATACCCCACACATAACAGAAATATATTTGATTGATTACATGAAAATATATCTCATGTGTGTCCATGTTTATTTGATCTAATGATTAATAATGTATTAAAATTACAAAAGAAAACGAATATAAAAGGCCGAAGTTGTATAGGTGTGTTATTTCTATTAGAGAAAAAGTTTTATCTAAAATTTCCTACACTGAAACAGAAAAGGCTAAAATCATTAGTCCTGGAAGGACTTCTGGATGCTGAGAATTTCTGTAGCTGATTTTAATTCGAGGACCTTGTTATAAAATCAATAAAATTAGGTGGAGGTGAGCACTTTCAAAACGGGTGCAACCGTAGACAAATGTTACTATAAGATTTCACCAAATTTACTGGTTTTCAGTTTGAAACAATTAATAAATGTATATTTCATAAAGTCTTCTTTGACTTTTTTGCTGCTATAGATGATCATAAAGTAAGATCTCATAAAATCCTTCAAACTTTCTTAGTCAGATTGAATTATCTTCAGTCGTCGAAAATTTATTTACAGTTGCTGATTCAAATTATTCTTTTACTTTGCTTTCACTTGTTGACATTTTATCATTCTTTTTACCTTCAAGCAGCTTCTGCTTGAAATCGATCCATAGAACTCTTGTCAGCGTACTTTTATATCTTTGTTGGATATAATGTTTGTATTAAGGTAACAAATGGAGCAACCATCATCTTTTCTATTTTCTCTTCATTACCTATCAGTTAAAATCACCAAGTAGAAACCTCATTGATTATGAAGCTATAAACGTAGAAGTGATATTGAGTAATCGTTTCTTTCGGCATCGCTTAATGACAACACCCTCTAGTTACCGACTTTGAAAAGTGCTTTATACCCAGTATGTCACTCACATAAAGATGAGCATTATTAACGGTTTCCACATATGTCTTTCTTACGAGTGAGCTTACCGTTTGTGACGTTGAGAAATTCTCCATTAAGTTTTACATGAATAGGTCAAAACAGTTGATGCTCCATTTGAATCGCTTCATATACCTTATCAGAAACTCCAAAGAGGATAATTCAGTTTAATAATGCCATTGATAACTCTTATCATAAATCTTTCGTACGATTGATAAAATCAATAATCCCTTTTATAAACCTTATTATAAATCCTATTAACAGTCTATGATATCCATCAACGTTTTCAAATATTAGTTCAACACGTTAGGAATGGGTATACTATTTTCACTGCTGGATATTTAAGATAATAATTCTTTATTTTCGAAAAACTTTGATTTTTAGAGTCTTTCTAATTTCTTTGATGTTTTCCGACATATTTATCATAGATCAATAACTAGAACGTCTGAGAGCAAATCTATTCAAAATTGTTTCATAACTAGTACATTGATTAGTATAATATGATTCGTGAATTGCTATGAATGGGTTTATTAGTAAAACACATTTATTTGTGATAGACTCTCTCATAATGAGTACAACATAATTACAAAGTATTTTAGGGAAATTCAAAATTTCTGTTGTTTCGATAACATCGATGATTAAAGAATAATCGAGTTTTCTTTTAACATATGATGTTTGCCAATATTGAAATAAACATAATATATACATCTTTCTAGACATTCATCTTAGTCGATGATATATGGCAAATTTTTGCAAGATTGTGTTTATGTAAGAAGAGCGATAGTATCATGTCTTAATAATGGCTGAAAGCTAAGTCGACCTTTAAGCAAATTCTTCATAGCTTTAACATTATCTTAGTAAAAGATTTCTTTCGAATAAACAAACTAAAGTTGAAAATTTACAGATATGTATTAACTTCCACTTAGCGCGGACTGATTGATTTGTACATCATTCTTTCTAATTTGACTTTTATCAAACTTATACACAATAATCATTAATTTGTTTTGTGGAAAAATATATAAATGTTTAGAAAATATCTTTCTTTAAAAAAGCTGTTAGCGCAATCCCTAGCGGGATTAAAAGTGTGAAACACGATGGACCTGTTGTTATCAATCAGATGGAGAACGTTTTCTTCCATTTGTTTACGACAGATTTGTAGCTGACCGTTTATTTGAAGTTTCAAATCTACAGTTTATCTGTCGCGGTCTGTGATGGGTAGGGGCTTTCTCTGTCATGGTCTATGATGGGTACCGGACTTTCTCTCTCACGGTCTGTGATGGGTAGGGGCTTTCTCTGTCACGGTCTGTGATGGGTATGGGACTTTCTCTGTCACGGTCTGTCATGGGTAGGAAGTTTCTCTGTCACGGTCTGTGATGGGTAGGGGGGTTTCTCTGTCACGGTCTGTGAT